TGAGGACTGCTGTTGGTGTATGGAAGATGTGAGGAGGAGGAGGGAGGAGGAGAGGTGTTACTGTTTGGAAGGGGAGTCTCCTTCCATTATAACATCAGGCAGTGAGGACTTCACTGGTATGCACACACTGGCACATTTTGCCTACATACCACTAGGACTTGCTTGTTTTACTAAGAATCTGTCTAAAGACACTTGTTTTTCCCTACATTTTAACACTTGTCTGTAGTAAGACATCACATTGTCATTTAAAAGGTCAATGCAACGGCCTGCTACAGCTTTATCTGGGCGAGTTTTTTCAACAAAACTTTCCAGTTCTTCCCATACTTCACACATTTTCTTAATCAAGAAAAGACTTCCTCTACTGCCTCTACTCACAGCTATTTTCTTAGGTTGAACCTTACCAATGGCTTTCTTGAGACCCATGGCGAGATATATAATGAAAACTTTTATGCTCAAATGGTCAAAAAACCGACAAAAAACTGTAAATCCTTGTGAAGAATTCAGGTGGGATAGTCACTGGGCGCGAGACACTGGTAAACTGAGGTGCGATCGCCATGCCACCATGCGCTAGTCGGCCTGTACACGTATCAACAAACTCGTGTTCCGAGGTAACCCTCGCCTTCCGAGACACATTTTCCGAGGAAATCCTGCTCGTATTCCGAAAAACTCGCATACAGGGACACTCGTGTTCCGAGGTACCACTGTACGCACATTCATACTACCAAACTGTTCTTGACTGTACTACCAGAAGGGTCCCGGTAGTACAGTACAGTCGGGTTCATACTCGACTCACAATCTAGAATTCCGGGTCCGAATCCCAGATAGAACAAATTGCTTTACGCATTTCGTATCACCTAATGCCTCTCTTTAGAGGCATTAGGTAACATCGTATCACCCAATACCTAGTCAGCTTGTTGTGTGGCTGAATCCTGGGGAGGTCAGTAATTCGACCTTAGGGAGGATCTCGATATAAGCCTAACATATATAAATACTGTACACTCTGGCTGCCTGTCCGCTCGACACAATGAATTAATATTATGTAATTATTCAGGTGATTACGTGACATTGGCAAAGACTGTGATAGACCAGTAGTAGTACTTTTTTTTTTTTTTTTTGAGATATATACAAGAGTTGTTACATTCTTGTACAGCTGCTAGTACGCGTAGCGTTTCGGGCAAGTCCCTGGAATACGATCCCCGCCGCGAAGAATCTTTGTTACAACCAAGTACCCATTTTACTGTCGAGTTAAACAAAGGCTACAGTTAAGGATTTGCGCCCAGTAAATCCTCCCTGGCCAGGATATGAACACATGACAAAGCGCTCGCGGAACGCCAGGCGAGTGTCTTACCACTACACCACGGAGACTATTACTTGTTGTTGACAGTCCCATCCCTTCCCTTCATACCAACAACTACTGGTCTATCACACACAACTCTTTACTTGTAACCAGGATGATAATCAGGAATGAGGTCAGGTGAGGAACAGGGCTTTATGAACAGAAAGAAAGGTTTATTTTTTAAAACTTATTACAGTATACAGAAATTAGGGCATATCGTCTTAACCACTCAACTGCTTGGCTTCCAAATATAGCACCGCCCCAGTGTGCAGTTAGTTTAGTTCATTTATTATGCACCCATACCCATCATGTGGACGGTAATGGAAAGGGTTACAGAGGCACATAATGGGCTCAAGGAATGAACCCCACAATTCATTTAGCTAAGCAAGTTACAATCTTGATGAGCTAGTTACAAAATTCAGTATAAGTCGTCACATCAACAATGGGTTCGAGATCGACCACAAGTACAGGTTCTAAATTTAGCAACTGACATATGTGGAGAGCTAGTGTCACAATTGATATGTTTGTCCTGCACACCGCCCCCCATCAGGAGGGCAGCGGTGGATAGGTTACAATCACTCAGTTACTACCTACAGTTAGCAAACTGGGGATACTTGGCTAAAATTTCTGGTAGCAGGAAATAAATTATCTGGAAAAAAATCTTTTTTTTTTTTTAAAGTATCAAAATCCCAAGTATGGGTATGTTAACAAAGTCAATATTGTACTAACTTTGGCTGCTATGGGGTCCGTAAGTTCGCTCGTGACATCATCAATCCCTGGTCGCGTACGCCCTGGGGCCAGTAGGGCGCCCGGGTCAAGATGCGCAAGTTGCCACAAATATATTTTTGTTCATTTTTTGCACACATTTCCAAATACATTTTATTTGTTTTTTCGTGCCAATCCTATGTATAATGAACAAGTACACTATATTATGGCAGTAGAACATCCGTACTGTCCGTAGACACTTATGTGCATGGCATGTGTGTACACATATCCGACATATTTCCAATGTATTATACTAATTTATGTATATACAATGTATTTACACACACTACAGTATCACACACAGTATACATTCACCATCAACACACTCAGAACTCTGCAAGTGTGAGCTGCCACACCCAGCCAGTCCTCCCTCACTCCAACATCTTACTCGCCAACATTGCTCCTCCCATCATACTGTTATTTTATTTTTTTTTTATTTTTTTTTTTGAGATATATACAAGATTGTTACATTCTTGTACAGCCACTAGTACGCGTAGCGTTTCGGGCAAGTCCCTGGAATACGATCCCTAGCCCGAAGAATCGTTTTTACAACCAAGTACACATTTTACTGTTGAGTTAAACAGAGGCTACAGTTAAAGATTTGCGCCCGGTAAATCCTCCCCGGCCAGGATGAGAACCCATGACAAAGCGCTCGCGGAACGCCAGGTGAGTGTTTTACCACTACACCACGGAGACTAAAGTTATTGTTTTTATTACAATATTTACACATGCTATGTATACACATGTACATGTTTTAGTCACCAGAACTATGCAAGTAAGCTGGTATTGTGTCAGCACAGTGGCCACCATACACTGTATGAGAAATCACACAGCAGCCAGCATACGACACTACGATTACGACATCTCCCTCACCAAAATAGCTCCTCCCAACATACTCTTGTTGCTGTTATTGCACTATATACACACATTGTATATACCCATGTACATGTGTGTTCACCATAGCGAACCACTATGGCGAGCAAAACAGGAGTGGCTGCCACACATGGTGAGGCTACCTCAATTCCCTCCCTCCCTCACCAAAATTCCTCCTCCCACAATACTACGCACATATGTACATGGGTACATACACACATTGTACATACCCATGTACATGTGTATTCACAATAGCGAACCACTAAGCTAATACGGTGAGCAAAACAAGAGTAACTGCCACACAGTGACGCTATCTGGAGTTTCTCCCTCACAAAACCACCTCCCACAATACTACGCACAGCGCTAATTATCACCACAATCCTGCTATTATCACAATGCTGGTCACTAAATCCTGTAAATGAATAATTGACCCAAGTTTATTTTGTAAAGGAACCTACGAAGTCGTTTGACGATTCCTAGATGGATTAAATAATGCACTGTGAACATCGTGAACAGCATTGAATCACTGATATTTGAACATTGTACACATTCATTATCACACTCAGGCTCTTCTGTAATACTATCATGGCTAAATAATACATATTTTATAATTAATATATATATATATATATATATATTCAACGAAACCATTGAAGAAGCCGTTGTTGACTAGGACCTGCCTTACCCTACAGAGTTCTTCGTCGACTTGCTTCCATCCTGAGCTGTGGCTGAGAGCACTTGCACTTGCTGCATTTGAGCAGAATTCTGTGTTGCGTTTCACTTACGAGATGGAGAAGGATGGGAAGCTGCCCTTTCTAGATGTAACAGTCATGGAAAGGAGCAGAGGTTTCCACACTGCAGTCTACACTACGGAAACAAACATAGGAATGTGCCTAAATGCCAACAGTGACTGCCCAGACAGGTACAAGAGGAGTGTTGTTAACGCTTATATCGACCGTGCTCTCAGCCACAGCTCAGGATGGAAGCAAGTCGACGAAGAACTCTGTAGGGTAAGGCAGGTCCTAGTCAACAACGGCTTCTCTAATGGTTTCGTTGAAATCATAAGAAGGAAAGTGATCAAAGTACTTATCAAAACTGATAGGTCAGTTTTGATAAGTACACCTCCAATTCTGGGTACATAAATGCCTGGTGGAGGTAATTGGTACTAACAAGTTTTGAGCTAGTTTGAGTGAATCTCCTGTCCTCTGTGAATTGTTTGGCAGTTTCGAGGGTTTGTTTCCTGCGAACCCTCCAGTTGTCTATAAAGCTGAGCCGACTTTCTGGAGGCTTTTTTTTCCGGTGGATGGCAGATTGTCACTGGCTCCCTGTACCTCTGTAAGGGCAAGCCAGGTTCTGGCTCTGCTCCCTGGTAGGCTAAACAAAACATCCACAACCAATATGACCCTTCAGTATGGAGCAATCTCAGCAAGATAGCTTCAGGAAGCCACTGGGGCTCCCTCCAGAAATGGTATGTGGCACTGGTGGTATTTGGCATTTATGTTAAATCTTCAAAAGGTTAGATGTAACACAAACAAGGAGTGTCAGACTCAAAAAGCCACTGGTGGTGTTTGGCACTGGTAATGTGGCAGTTCTATGTGATTGCAATAGTACTGGTGCTATGCGGTGACAGCGATATGTTTATGAAAACATTTTCCACTGTGTTATCAAATCTATAATAATAATAATAAATAATAATAATAATAATAATAAAAAATAAAGGGACAGAGGGAAAAGGAGAGGGATGAAAGAAGAAAAAGGGAGAGGAAAAGAGGAATTATCATATTACAGTAATAATAATACTGTAATAATGATGACAATCATACAGTAGTATATTTAAGGTAAAGTACATACATACAAAATTAGTTACAAGAAGAATGTTGGATTTCTAGATTCAGTTGCATATTGTCCTGGGGACCATTCAGGCTTGTTCGCATGTAGCAAATATATACTACTCCTAAAGCCATTAATATGCACAGCATTTTGGGCATAACATTTAGCATATTTAACATTAACATTTAGTACTTACCCTTGTTCCCTCATTACATCTTCCATTTCAGCACACTTTAACTCAAGAGCTCGTTTGCGCGCATGTTCACGAATTTCAGCATTGGGACCTTGGGTTCTCTGATCTTCTAACTTTTGTAACTCTTCTTCTGTGCGAAAATCAATCTAAAATAGAAAAGAAATAAAAAAATAAGTCATGTTCTTGAAACTTTAAACTAAAATCTAAAAGTACTGTACAGTGCAACCTTGATTTAAGAAACCTCGGTTCAGAGAATCTCCGGCTGGGTTGCACTTTTCAGGCTGGATTTATGCACCAGTTTTGACGATTCGCCAAAGTGGGGCTTGTGTGGACTTGTTTACGATGTTTGGACAAGAGTTCACAGACTGGTGGAAAACTTTCCCATTACCTGTATATCACAAGTTACAATTAATAATTCCTTCAAATGACAAATTGGATCACACAAGTGGACAAGTGGACCAAATTAACCAAACACCAGCTAGAGTGGTTCACACAAGTGAATGACTGAGTTTCCATGACTTTCATTAACTGATTTATGGCACACCTATCTTTGAAAATTTAAAAGCTGAAGCGTGAGAAGCTAGCTACACGAGGTGAAATCTCCCTATAGATATTTTCTGTGATGAAATAAAATGAGTGAGGGTGGACAGATATAGGGAATACTGTACTGTAAACCTCACTTGGTTTTCCTTCATCTGGGTCATCATAGTTCAGTGACCCATGACTTTGAAAGTTTCAGATTAATAAATTATTTCTAAAACAGGTGTTTTATTGGCTTTTTATTATTCTAATTATATTTCTAAACTAAATATAAAAAAAATATACTGTAATATGACAGACATCTGCTATTTGAGAAATTATTGATGTTATTGCGTCTAGCTTTCAAAACAAGTCGAGTGCGGGTGGACTGGTCTAATTCCTGTACACACAGCACCATGCGCGCATATAGTGTAATAACAGCAAAAACACACTGAATGATCGTAGAATATAATATACATGTTCATATGTGAGCTCCATAATTTTCAGCATAGCGATATCCACACATTGAACTATATAAATTCCACAAATTACACACTTGAATAATATTACAGCCAAAAAAACAGAAAAGAAACGAAATGAGAATCAAAATAATTGTGAAACACATTCGCGGCAACTGCCGCCGCACGAGTTGGCGAGACCTAGTGACTGAGCGCTCCATCACTCAGCACCCGTAATTTGCTTAACTTCCTAGCTCCATCGCTGTTATAGTATGTCACATATAATATTTTTCCTAGTTTCCCGAGATCAGAGACTGCATTTTAACACCATCGCGCTCCCGGCAGAAGACTCTGTAAATTTCCCCTCGTGCGCTGAGCATTTCAGGTGACCACAAGGCGACACTGAAAGGTGTAAACTCTTTTCGGTTTGCTCACCTTAACCCTTAAAGTGCGCATCACTTCATATGAAGTGTAAATCGTTTTACCAGTCAACTGCGCTTCACTTCATATGAAGTGTATGGGTACCGCGCACGATTTGAATGGCCCGCGGTGTAGCTGGGGGTCCCATACGCTGCCCAGGGGCTCTAGTAAACAGCGGCCATTTTGAAAAAAAATCCAGCTCACGCTCCGATGGCATGGGAGGCCTCAGTTTAGCGAGAGTCACCATGGCGAGCGCACGGTCAAACGCCTCACGAGCACGCATCACTCAGTCCCTCACCCCAGAGCAAATAGCCCACGAATTATTCTCTGAAGGTGAAGAAAGTGTGTTTGACGATTCAGACAACGATGAGGATTATACACAGTTGTCGGGAGATAGTAGCAGCAGCAGTGAAAGTGAGAATGACCGCCATGCCATGGCGAGGCCTATACGCTCTCCCATGCCTCCTCGCCCATTTTCTACCCCAATTTTACCACAACCTCACAGTTCCTGTGGATATTTTCTGTTTGAGGGTGACGAGTCAGAGGGAGGTGACTCCTTTTCTGGGTTTAGTGACTCAGATCAAAGTTTTATTGAGCCTGTGGCTGGTACCAGTGGTGTAACTGGGCGAGAAATTGTCGCGTCAGCAGCATCTCGCCCAGCCAAGCGCCACCGCATGGCACCACATGAGGGACCAAGACCCTCGTGTTCACGTGCACCCACCTCACGTGCACGTAGCCACCGTGCTTCTCGCAGACGGTATTCAGCTCCTGGTCGCCGGTATGCATCGCTTCCTCGCCGTCTTTCCTCTGCATCTCGCAGGACGCCTGGTGTACTTGAGTGGAGTGATGGTGACGACTTTATTCCTAATATTCCTCACTTTGACGATAAAGATGTAGGGATTACAAACCTTTTCCCTAATCAAGGTGAGGACATGGCTGAGATGGAATATTTTACAGCATTCTATGATGAACCACTCATGGAATACATTGTACACCAAACGAACCTGCATGCTGCTTACCTGATTGAGAGGGAAATCACAGAATTTTCACGACTGCAGCGTTGGAAAAATACCACAGTGGCGGAAATGTATGTGTTTTTGGCACTCTGTTTGTTGATGAAGCACTGTCACAAACATGCAATAAATGACTATTGGAGCAAGGACAAGACAATACCAACACCTTTATTCGGGAAATATATGTCACGAGACAGGTTTCAGATACTCCTCAGGTGTCTACATTTTGGAAGTGTTCAGGACCGAACACCTGATGATAGACTGTGGCGAGTGAGGCACTACATGAACGATGTTATTGGAAAATTCAGAGATTTTTACGTACCAGCACAGAAGCTGGTGGTTGATGAATCTCTCATACTTTTCAAGGGACGTGTTCCATTCAAACAGTACATTCCCTCAAAACGAAACCGATTTGGCCTGAAATTTTTTGTTCTTTGTGATTGTGAGACAGGATACGTGTTACACATGATTCTGTACTCGGCTAGTGATGTAGACATTCTGTAACACCGCCCTATTAAAATGCACCACTATAATGGAACACCACTATAATGGAACACTAAACTATCCTGAGTAACACTTCCCCATTGGTTGCACTTGGTAACACTGTTATGGGCTGACATATGATGGTTACACCGGAACTACAAAGTACACTGCCAACAAGGAGATGCTAACACAGGATGAAATACGCTGCCACCATCTGCCTTTGACCATTGAAACTATATCAAGCAACGAGGCAAGAAATATTGCTTGACTTGGAGAGTACTTTCTATGACTGTCATTAATTTTGAAAACGGTTGTCAGCCACTATATCCAAAAGGCTAAGAGGATTCAACAATTGACACAGACGGGAAATTTCACGTAAGTTTATTGAGACCAAAATTATGTCAATCACCAATTATAAATCCTACCCTAACACTGGCAAAAAGTTAAGAAATTTGGACATGGAACAAAAACTCAGAGATCACACACATTACCTTAAGCTATCTGTCTCTCCCTGGCTGAGATGTTCTTCACAGCCCCGCTCTCGATCCCGGTGTACCGCCCTCTGCCTCCTATGTTCCTACAGGCCCTCTATATACAACCCCCACAGGGGGGAGGGGGAGATCTGCTGTTGCTACCCACCAAGAGTGTACAAACACTCAAGAAATATTTCAAAAAGCTTGTTTGACATTCACCATACACTCTTCAAGAGAGGAGTTATTAATTACGTGTGTGACTGACCTCTGACCTGGCCAAAAGGGGGAGATCCAGGGATGTTTACACATAAGAATCTGGAGTCTAATTTCCTTGCATGAAATATTACATACTTGAAACTATGCTGACTAAGACTAACCCAGGAATTTTTAATCAATATACAAGATAAACCGGAGGTCATCTAGGCTGACCTCTTGGAGAAGGCTTCCCTGGGTGTGAACTCTAAGGGGGGGGGGAGGTCCTGGGTGTTACAGCTCCCTTTCCCCGGAGTTAAGACAAAATCGGGTGTATGATAATTAAGCCCAATTTTGTCTTATCCTAACTCATCCAAAATACCACAACTAACCCTAAAAAGAAAAAAAAATAGCCAGTGACATAATGATAAAAGTAAGCTAACTAAATTAACATGAAGCAAAGTACATTATACAGTTATACTGCAGTAAGAACAAAACATAAATGTATAATGAAAGAAACAAAAGTACAAAAAAAATACCTTGGCACAAGTACAAGCAATGATACCGTCACACATGACACGATTCCGATATCCTAATATGACAATAAAGTATCAATGAAAAAAAACAAATCCCGACTGCACCCGAGGCAGTCCAGCAAGGCTCCCTCAAAAGGCTGGAAGACCAAAACAAAAAAATCGCCTTAAAACTAGCATGACATAAAAAAATTCCTAATGGAACCGGAAAATTACAAGTAACTAAAGATAATATAATGTCAAAATACACGGAATAACACAAGGCTACATAATACAACCACGAATTACAATACATGACACTACAGAATACTATGAAACAATGACATATCCTGCCTGCACACTAGGCAGGCTAGCAAGTCTTCCTCAGAAGGTCTAAAGAACAAAACATACAAAAAAATGAACAGCAACATGAAAAAAAAATATATATATGTAATACTCCTACTCTAACATTTAAATCTAACTAATTAAAAAATAACAGGAAACATTATACCTAAGTGAGCATATTCCAAACATCTGCTGGGTACCTCATGACCCACAGCCAAACGTATGAGTTATACAAGTTATAAAACATGGTAAAAATACAACAATAGACATGAAGACTCATCAATAGAACCGTACGTTAACAGAATACTTGTGGGCCAATCCATATACCGCACAAGACAATAGTGCCCGGGTCAATCTCCATGCACCCTGCACACACTGAAAGTAAGACTACCTCTTACCACAACAGAAATATTACTTAACATTACAACATTTCAATGAAATAAAAAGGCATGCAAATAATAAAAAAAAATATGTACCCATACACTGGTACCAAACAGGAAACCTGGACACTCATCACCAGGACCGACTTATCACATAGACACATGCATGAAATAAAATAATAAGAAATTTCAAGAAAAAGTTTGTGCTAGAGACCCAAGTCATCTAGCTATGAACACTGTCTAGGACCACTTTTTCTAGGCCTAGTTACTTTACATCCCCATAAATGTTACACTTTTACCCCACTTAGACAAAACTATTTGACACCGTTAATAATAGTCATTTCTCTGAAC